GTAGACTTCAAGAGACAAAGAGGAACAGTATATAATGATAAAAGGGACATTCCACCAAGAGAACATAAAACTTATGAATATAAATGCACCTAGCACAGGGGCACCAAAGTACACACACCAATTGCTAACAGACCTAAAGGGAAAAACAAATGGCAACACAATAACAGTAGGGGACCTCAACACCCCACTTACATCAATGGACAGATCATCCAGACCAAAAAATCAACAAGGAAACAGTAGATTTAAATGAAACAATTGATCAGATGGACTTAATAGATATACAGAGAGCATTCCATCCAAAGACAGCAGAATATACAGTCTTCTCAAAGACAGACCATATGTTGGGAAACAGAGCAAGCCTCAATAAATTTAAGAAGACTGAAATCATCTCAGCCATCTTCTCCAAACACAATACTACAAAACTAGAAATCAACTACAAGAAAAAACTGGGAAACTCAGAAATACGTGGAGACTAAACAACATGCTACTGAACAACCAATGGATCAATGAAGAAATTAAAAAGTATCTGGAGATAAACAAACATGAAAATACAACATACCAACTCTTATGGGATGCAGCACAAGTGGTCCCATGAGGGAAATTCATAGCAACACAGGCCCACATAGACAAAGAAGAAAAATCTCAAATGAGTAATCTTAAACTACACCTAACAGAACTAGAAAAAAAATAAAAACAAAGCCCCAAGTCAGCAGAAGGAGAGAAATAATAAAAATGAGAGCAGAAATAAATGAAACAGACACTAAAAATACAGTAGAAAGGATTAATGAAACTGAGAGCTGATTCTTTGAGAAGAGAAACAAAACTGAGAAACACTTATCTAAACTCAGAAAGAAAAAAAGAGAGACGGCTCAAATAAAATTAGAAATGAAAGAGGAGAAATTACAACAGATACTACAGAAATACAAAGGATTGTAAGAGAACACTTCGAAAAACTATATACCAACAAACTGGATAACCTAGAGGAAATGGATAAATCCTTAGACTCATACAAACTTTCAAAACTGAATCAATAAAAACAGAGAATCTGAAGACCAAACACAAGCAAAGAGATTGAAACAGTAATCAAAAACCTCCCAGAAAATAGAAGTCCAGGACCAGATGGCTTCTCTGGAAAATTCTACCAAACATTCAAAGAAAATTTAATACCTATTCTTCTTTAACTATTCCAAAAAATTGAAGAAGACAGAACGCTTCCTAACTCATTCTATGAGGCCAACATTACGCTTGTGCCAAAATCAGAGAAGGATAACACAAAAAAAGAAATTACAGGCCAATATCACTGATGAACACAGATGCAAAAATCCTCAACAAAATATTGTCAAACCAAATTTTGACAGCGATACATTAAAAGGATCATACACCATGATCAAGTGGGATTTACTCCAGGGACACAGGGATGGTCCAACATCCACAAATCAACCAATGTGATACACCACATTAACAAAATGAGGAATAAGAATAACACGATCATCTCAATAGATGCAGAGAAAGCATCTGACAAGATCCAACATCCAATTATGATAAAAACTTAATAAAATGAGTATAGAAGAAAAGTACCTCAATATAATAAAGGCCACATATGACAAACTCACAGCCAACATCATACTTAATGGGGAAAAACTGGAAGTCATTCTCCTGAGAACAGGAACAAGACAAGGGTGCCCACTCTCACCACTTTTATTCAACAAAGTACTGGAGGTTTTGGCCAGAGGAATTAGGCAAGAAAAAGAAATAAAAGAAATCCAAACTGGAAAGAAAGAAGTAAAACTCTTGCTGTTTGCAGACGACATGATTGTATACATAGAAAACCCTAAAGAATCCATCAGAAAACTATTAGAAATAATCGACTATAGCAAAGTTGCAGGGTACAAAATCAACTTTAAAAAATCACTTGCATTTTCATACAGTAACAACAAACTAGCAGAAAGAGAAATCAAGAATAGAATCCTGGGGCCAGTCCGGTGGCAGAGCGGTTAAGTTCACACATTCCACTTCTTGGCAGCCCGGGGTTCACTGGGTCGGATCCCGTGTGCGGATATGGCACCGCTTGGCAAAAGCCATGCTGTGGCAGGCGTCCCACGTATAAAGTAGAGGAAGATGGGCATGGATGTTAGCTCAGGGCCAGTCTTCCTCAGCAAAAAGAGGAGGATTGGCAGTAGTTAGCTCAGGGCTAATCTTCCTCAAAAAAAAAAAAAAAAAAGAATAGAATCCATTTACAATCACAACAAAAAGAATAAATATCTAGGAATAAACTTAACCAAAGAGGTGAAAGACCTATACATTGAAAACTATAAGACATTATTGAAAGAAACTGAAGACATAAAGAAATGGAAAGATATTCTATGCTCATGGGTCGGAAGAATAAACATAGTTAGAATGTCCATACTACCTAAAGCAATCTACAGATTCAATGCAATCCCAATCAGAACCCCAGTGACATTCTTCACAGAAATAGAAAAAAGAATCCTAAAATTTATATGGAAAACAAAAGACCCCAAATAGCCAAAGCAATCCTGAGAAAAAAGAACAAAGCTGGAGGCATCACAATCCCTGGCTTCAAAATATACTATAAATCTATAGCAATCAAATCAGCATGATACTGGTACAAAACAGACACACAGATCAATGGAACAGAATTGAAGACCCAGAAACAAAATCACACCTCTACAGACAGTTAATCTTCAAAAGAGAAGCCAAGGACAAACAATGGAGAAAGGAAAGTCTCTTCAAAAAATGGTGTTGGGAAAACTGGACAGCCACATGCAAAAGAATGAAAGTAGACCATTATCTTGCATCATACACAAAAAATAACTCAAAATGGATTAAAGACTTGAATGTAAGACCTGAAACCATAAAAATACCAGAACAAAATATAAGCAGTACACTATTTGACACTGGTCTTAGCAGCATCTTTTCAAATACCATGTCTACTGGGGCAAAGGAAACAAAAGAAAAAATTAACAAATGAGACTACCTCAGACTAAAGAGCTGCAAAGCAAAGGAAACAATGAACAAAACAAAAAGACAACCATTAACTGGGAGAAAATATTTGCAAATCATTTATTCAATGAGGGGTCGATCTCCAAAATATATAAAGAACACATACAACTCAACAACAAAAAAACAAACAATCCAATCAAAAAATGGGCAGAGGATGTGAACAGACATATTTCCAAAGAAGGTATACAGATCCACAGACACATGAAATGATGTTCAACATCTTTAATTATTAGGGAAACGCAAATCAAAACTACAATGAGATATCACCTTACACTGGTCAGGATGGCTGTAATTACCAAGACAAAAAACAACAAATGTCGGAGAGGATGAGGAGAAAAAGGAACCCTCATACACTGCTGGTGGGAAAGCAAACTGGTGGAGCCAATATGGAAAACAGTATGGAGATTTCTCAAAAAACTAAAAATAGAAATACTGTACAATCCAGCTATCCCACTACTGGGTATTTACCCACAGAACTTGAAATCAATGATCCAAAGCGATTTACGCACCCCTATGTTCACTGCAGGATTATTCACAATAACCCAGATGTGGAAGCAACCCAAGTGTGCTTCTATGGATGAATGGATAAAGAAGATGTGGTGTGTATATATATATACACACGCACACACACAGAATGGAATACTACTCAGCCAGAAAAAAACACAAAATCATCCTATTTGCAACAACATGGATGGAACTTGAGGGTATTATGTTAAGCGAAATTAGCCAGAGAATGACAAATATCATATGATTTCACTCATATGTGAAAGACAACAAACACATAGATAAAGCGAACAGATTGGTGGTTATCAGAAGAGAAGGGGGTTGGGAGATGGGTGAAAGAGGTAAAGGGGGGAAAAAAAAACAACTACGAAATCTGAATTGGTTATAAGCAGAATCCTTAATCTCAAAAAAAGTATTTTCCTACTTATTCAAAAGTAACTTTAAGACACTGGATTTTCTTCCTTTCTTTAGTTTAAGAATATGATTTTATTTTTGGCATATCCTAAATAATGATTCATTATGAGGGCATCATGTTGAATGCACTCAATATATGGAAAGAGATCAAAACTTGAAGTCTCAAGACTGGGCTGTACTCCTTTTTCATTAGTTATTTCCTCACTAAAAAGATGGAGGTAACTTTCTACTTAATACCTGAATATTGAAAGTAAAGCCATTAAATATATTTAGGGGTATGAAGCTGAGTGGGTAACTCTCAAGAGTAATGTTTTTCATTAAGATTCCAAATTCCCCTGTTTATGACAATCCCACATTTTCTTTCCTTTTGCTTATTTTTAATTTCCTTATTATTAAGATATAGCTATAGCTGGTTATTCATACGATCTGTTATATTTTAGGTTTTATATTTAGATTCACGAGAAAAAATAAACTTTGGGCAGAGGAGGTTGATGGCTTTCCACTTTTTTGATTTATTACCTGTTTTTCTATTCATGGCCATTTTTCTTTTCATATTTTCTGCCCAAAAGTCTCCGTTCTAATTCTACCAGAGTTGACAACTGAGAGAAAAGAAATATTAAAGTGCTCTGATAACTATAAATTGCCATATAAATATTAGAGAGGTATAAATCAAAGAAATGGACAGCAAAGATCTGCACCATATCCTGATATTCAGCAGTGTGGGTAATTATCACTGCTAAATTATCTCCTTCTAGGAAGTCTCATGCTAATGGAAGAAATGTCTCAGATAACTCAGATTTTTATATTGTGGTCTTGTATTTCATCCATAAAGGAGCTGTATATTTTAATATTCCTTTGGACTGTCAATTTTCTAAGAGTTTGGGGATTCTCAGGAGTAAAATATAATAGGGTAAGAACAGTAAGAGACTTAATCAAGGCATAAATGGTATTTTGAACTTCAGGGGATTATTACTCCATTGGTAAGTTATTCCATATAAACACTGTAGAGTTTTCTACGTTCTTATTTAAAGCAAAGCAAGAAAACAGAAATTTTTTCTTACTTTTTTCAACTGCAATTCCATTTTTAGACACTCCTCCTTCTTCTGCTCCAAAGCAATCTCTAGTGTCTTAAGCCGTGAATCTTTCTTGAGTCCTGAGGAAGCCAGGGAAGAAGCATGCTCTTTCAGATCCAAGAGCGAAGCCTAAAAGAAGTATGCACATTTAGAATAAAGACTAACTATAAACAAAATGGAGATTTAAATTTTTAAATTTATTTTTTTTGTGGCTTGTAGTTTCTTTCGATTACCATATACTGACATATTTCCATTTCAAGAACATGAAATATAAAACAATATTAGCTTTAGCTTTCAAGTCCTAACTAAAATAAGATGAATTCCCAAGAAATATCAATTGAATATTGATTTAAACAGTTCTATCAATATTTAAACAGTTCCATCTCCACAAAATAAATGGAAGTAGACTGAACTTTGTGAATGTAAGTAGTCAAGCTTAGCAGCCACATTGACTTAAATATAAAATACTTTTGCCTTTTAGAAGAAAAATTCTACTAAGAACTTAAATTTATATAAATTTTCCTAAAGATATTAGAAGGAAAATCCTGAGAATGTCCCTGAGGCTCATGCATTATCTAATCACAAGGCATTAGGCATTTTTGCTATTTAGGTCACATAATGGGATTCTCCAAAAGCAAGATCAAAGTATAGCAAGTCACCTAATTGGTCAACAATAATTTAAGATTTCTCTGCGAATGCTGAGATGCAGTTTAAGAGCTGCTGTAAATAAATTGTCCTCCTTCTGCATATTCCTTTCATCTACCACTTTTCTTACCAGTAGCAGAATGTTTGTCCAAATGTAACTGGGCTTCAGTTATTTTAGGATCTATAAAAATGTCATTAACAAGTAAGAAACCAACTCTTAACACACCGAAAGAGATTAAGACTTAGAAAATAAATGATCCAATCTACTGTGTCTCTGCAAAGCTTGCTGAAATATCCCTTAAGGTCTTCCCAAAAGACCTAAGACTATTAAAGAAAATCTTCCATAAAATACTTTCTTATATGTATTACGTAAACACCAACAACATATACACAAAATGCACTGACTATGCAAACCAAATAATTCCATATTGGTGATCTTAACCTCTTTCTCTGAGAGATCGCCTTGCAATAGGCTGACTTTTTCTTTCAAATCTTTAAGATCTTTTTTGTAGTTATCAATTTCCTCTTGCTTCTCTCGCTCATCTCTGTCCCGCTGCTCCTTTAAGCGCTCAATTGTCCGCTCCTGATAAAAGAGCACATAAATACATGAGAAAATTCCCTTCACATTTATGTCATGTAACTGTAATTCAGCTTTTAGCTGATAAAATTTCACACTTCCATTCTCCATTCAAAAGACAGTGATAAGTTGTTAATATTTACTTTTTAAAGAATTCACCCTTCCTACCTATCTTGCTTTAACCAAGATCTGGCTTTGTTCTTTTGATTACCCTAGGTTTCTTTTCCTATAATCTCAACTAGTATTATACGTCCCTAAAGTATTCTTTTGAAATTATCCCATTTATACAATTCCCAAGTACCCAAAAACTTATATATATACCCTAAGGACAACAGCTAACAAATATTTCTTCTTTATAAATTCTTCACATGTTGCCTACAAGGCAATGGAAACAACTCACAATTCATACACCAAAAAAAAGGAAAGGTTGGGGAGATTATTATATGTTGAGCTTAAAGCACAAAGAGGGGTAAAGAAAAGAGAAGCCATTAAAACTTCCTTCTGTCAAACTATCAACAGATAGCAAGTTTGAAAGTTAGAGCAATTTAAGTATTATTTCTAAATATATTCAGGGATCAAGCCTTGATCACAGGCAGGCAGTCTGAAGCATTCTGAGCCCAAGAGGCTTAAGGAACAGTGACCTTATTCCTTTAAAAAAGTCCAATTAAAATGCCCCATCAAGATTCATTAGGGGCTGGCCCAGTGGCATAGTGGTTAAGTTTGTGTGCTCCACGAGTTCAGACTCTGGGCACGGACCTACACACCGCTCATCAAGCCATGCTGTGGTGGTGTCCCAAATATAAAATAGAGGAAGACTGGCACAAATGTTAGTTCAGCGACAATCTTCCTCAAGCAAAAAGGGGAGTATTGGCAACAGATGTTAGCTCAGGGCCAATCTTCCTCACCAAAGGAAAAAGAAAAAAGTCACCAAACTGTATGCTTAAGATGGATGTGTTGTGTTGTATGTAACTTACACAGAAATAAAAGTGATTTGTCCAAAAAAAAAAAAAATTCCTTAAACCTCCTTCCAAGACATTAACACTTGCCATGTTGGGCCACTTCTTTATTTACTCAACCATTCCTGAAAAACTAGGTTTGCTCACAAAGGCAAAATGAAATAGCAAGGCCAAGACTAGAAAAACAGTCAATACAGTATATTAATAACTAAAATCCATGAATATATTAGGTAACAATGTGGCACAGTAAAGGAGAACTAATTATACATTGCCTCCTGACAGTCAATGTGCGATATTCCCACATCCCCTAATTCTAGTTGACCTTATAAATAAAAAGAACTTTCCTTCTTCTTCAGAAGATAGTAAATGGGGAACATACGGCTGATTCCTTAGCAATTTCAGCCACTGCCCTCTAGTGTGGAACCCATCTTGCCCAGCAACAGATGCTTAAATTGGCAACAACAGAATGGATTTTCTTTCCCCTTATATGATAAATGTCAGCAATAGGACAGAGAGCTTTTTTCCTTTTTGCCCAGAGGGATTTATTCTCACTTCTATATCCAAGTCTCATCACTAGAGAAAATTTTAGATCGATGAGAAAGCAGAAGAAATGTGTCTATGAAGAGTCTGGACCAGTCGCTCACTTTCTCTGCAAGGGCCTCCTCCAAAGTGGTCAAGGCGGTGTCGGTGTTGGTGGTGTCAGCCTGTAGGGATTTGACTCGTTCTTTCAAGCTGCTCATCTGCTTTTCCTTATCTCTAAGTTGCTCTTGAAGATTTTCAATCTGAGTGTGATATACATTTAAGAGAAAAAAAGGAAATTAAGAGACATACAAATAGGCACAATAAAAATCATTTTAAGTTGTAAACAGGTAGATCAGGGTTGTCTCCAAGTGTAAAACTTTTAGAACTGCAAGCAAAACTTTAAACCCAGAATTTATAGCCAGAACAGAGAAAAGACACACACATGGGTATGGGAATATAGGCATATGCATAAATCTCTAAAGAATTATGGGAAGATAGTTAGAGAAAAAAGACTCAACAGAAAGAGATGGGAATGGAGAGAGGAACTATAGAGAAGAAAGCCATGAAAAACTGGATTATTTCCAAAACAACAGTATAAGTGCCAAGAGGGATCCCTTCACAAAGAATTGAGGGAGGACAGAGAACAAAACAGCCAGACAGTAAGAAAAACAAATCAGCTGTATAAAGGAAAAATTATTCTGAAATACTAGTGTTAAGTTAGATTTTTATATCATCTTTTATCTAAACAGTAAGCACTTTCAATGAAATTCCTCATTGTTATTATTCATTCCTTCATACACATTTATATGCATTCATTTACTCAAAAGAGTATTTACTTAAATCTATATCATATGCCAGGCACTAGTGATACAAAGAAGAATGAGCACACTCATTTTTATTATGTTATAAGATGACAAGAGGACTCCGCATTGTAGCTGGATCCAAGCTATCGATGGGCTTGTGTGCCATCCTAAACAGCACAAATTTTATTGTATACAGATGGGAACTATTAGGGATTTTTAAGCAAAGAAATGGTCTAGTCAGTTCTGTATTTTAGATAGATAACTCTGATGGCTGTCGAGAAGAAATTTTTTAAAACTTGCATAGAGATAGGAAAAACAATTACAAGATTTTATCAACTCAGGTAAGAGATTTTGGAGACTAAATGAGCTAAGAGATGGAAAAGAGGGGATGGGTTTGAGAAACATTGTGGAAAGCGCACGTTATCACTAGGGAGATTCAAGTATACATCATGAAAAATACTAAACAAAAATATGAAGGAATTATAGAGAGATATTCCTAATAAACTAAAGGAAAATAAGAAGTGAGGCAACTATTCCAGAACTCACAAACTTCATTCGTTCTTTCAACACATATTTGAGCTCCTGCTATGTGCCAGGCACTTTTTCAGGTGTTGAGGATATAGGAGTAATCAAAATAGGCAAGAATCCCTACCCTCAAAGAGCTTCCATCCCAATATGGTAGACAGTAAATGAATGAATGAAATGAATATATTGTGCAGGATGACAGTAAGTTCTAGGAAGGAAAATGAAGCAGGAGAATATAATCATAATCTCCTCTTGAGCTAATAACCAGAACTAGCTGGTTTATTTTACACGGTTTTCAAAAAGAAACATAAATGTTACCTCCTTTGGGAAGAGTTTCTTGTTCTTACCCCATCAGATGATCATTGTCTGTACTCCATCACACATATAAATACACATATACACACATTTATCTCCATTCTTTACCTATCTATATATTTCCCACATTTATCGCCAATATTCCACCTATATATATAACATTAATCCCTAACCATATTGTAATTACTTGTTTCATACACGTCTCCACAAATAGACTGGATCCTGCTCCTCCACCCAGTTTTGTATCTTCATATCTGGCACACATCTGGCACACACTATTTATCTATAATAAATATTGGTTCAATAATCAGTAAATGAATAGTATACAAGCTCGGACCTTTATAAACTATATTTAGGCATACACATAAACTCATGCCAAAAAAGGAACTACAAAAAAATCCTAGATCCAACCTTCGGATAAATTTCCTGCATTAATCAATTTAGTATAAGCTCTTTAAGGGTCTGCTTCATTCCACAGGGTAAGGAAAAAAGTCCCTCTCTAGAGTCAATGAGAATTCCACAAGCAGAACAAACAAGCTAAGCAAAAAGATCTGGTAAATTTAGAATAGGGTACCATGAATACCAAAAGGCTTGGATTTTCACTCTTTAACAAAGAGAAAAATCATACAGGTTAACTACTGAAATGCCTAAAATGGGTTCCATTCTTTTCATGACAAATAAAAGTCCAAAACCTACTGTGAAAGAAAAGACCATCACAGATGAAAAGCATTAATCTTCCTTTAGTTTAATCAGACACTACTACTGGAATCTCATATGAATCCATATGAAATCTCACAGGAATCAATATGGATCAATGGTTGTGGTAAACTCACAAGGGCTAAAGAGAACTCGGCCACTTAAAAATCTAGTACTCCATACACATACAGAATGCAACGTCCTGGTGTTTACATGTTTAACCAGCTGTGCAGGACATTCCAGGTGCTAACATATAAACCTTATACAAAGAAAAGATACAATCATGCTGTTGATTAAACTTTCTTATCAACAAAGAACAGTACTACAGGGCTGGCCAGGTGGCATAATGGTTGAGTTCGCACACTCCGCTTTGGCAGCCCAGGGTTCGCAGGTTCGGATCCCAGGTGCGGACCTACACACCCCTCATCAAGCCATGCTGTGGTGGTGTCCCACATACAAAACACAGGAAGACTGGCACAGATGTTAGTGAAGGGCCAATCTGCCTCACCGAAAAAAAAAAGAAAGAGCAGTTCTAGAACCATTATTTAAAACAAAATTTCACAGGACCAAGCAAGTTTTATATATAAGAAAACAGAGATTTGCTTTATGAGCCCATCTAATACACAAATAGCCCTCACATGCATAATACCCTTCTTTCTTCTCCATCATCAGCACCTAAGAAAGAAATTTAAGAAGTTAAACTGTTAACAATCTCACTGGTATAATTTGTATGTAGTCAAACTATTAAAGGAATCCATTACTGTTTGCTGGCAAAAGTTTTCCTAATACACTCAGGTTCAGAAGCCGCTAGTTCAGTGAAAATTTAGTAAAATCCACATTAACAAGTTCTCCCTAAATTACTTTCTTCTTCAATTACCCAGCTGTCTAAACAGACTGTTGAGTTGGAGAGGAGGAAAGGATGGCTATTCTTGCACTCCTGTTTACTTCTAAGAGGAGGAATAAACATTCCATAGTGAAAGGAACTGAAAAAATGAAGAAAGAACAGTGGACATTAAAATTGCCTCCTTTAAGCAAGTTGTCATCAGTGAGGAAGACTTGAAGTAGACATGGAGATGTGCAAACTAGCTACATAAGCACTGAACAAACCCCAAAGACGCTGTGTGTGGTGGTTCAGAGGAGGGGTGTGTAAAAAATATTTTTCTTTTCATTTACCCAGCATCATGATGCATAACAGCTAAGCCGTACTGAAAGCTCCTGTTACATATCCTTACACTGGTTGTGATTCAATGGTGCTTTCTTGATCAAGGATGTCTGGATTTGCATGTGTCACTAACCAGCTGGTGTGTGAATGCTACCATATTATTCTTGCCATTATTCTCTTCTTTTTGACTAATCTAATGTGGAAGGTGTAAAAGCTGCTCACCCAGATAGTCCCACAGCATATTACTTCAGTATTTATTATGGAATTTCTATAAAATATATAGTGGAGATCCTATTCTATACGCAGTTCAATTTCCACAGGTTCTGAAATATATGATTTACAAAAAGTTTTGAATACAACAGCCAAGAGAAAAACTGGATCAGTTATGTACATCCTTGAATATTAACGATAAAGATGATTGTTTGGAATCATGTTAAATGAAAAAATACTCCTTCAAATATAATCAGAATATCAAAAAAAAAAGGAAACTCTCCATTTTGCAGGAACAGAAACCACAGAATCCCTAAAATAACAATGTAACAACAACAACAAGAAAAATAATAATAATGATGGTGGTGGTGGTGAGGAAGAAGTAGTGGTGATAACAGAGACTGCTAACACTTAAAAAGAGTGTAATATGTACGTGCCAGGTACTGCTGTAAGAACTTTATATATAACAACTATTTAAGCATCCCCACAAGACTATGAGATAATCACTAGGCCATCTAGTTCCAGAATCCTATTCTTAATCACTATGCTATAAATAGTATTCTATGATGAACAACAAAAGAAAAACAATCACACAAAGGTGACCTAAGCATTTTTCCATAAACTATGGAAAAACAGACTATTTTAATAATATCATGATACCGAAATCCTGATGCCAAGTACCTTTGGCTTTGCCCACCAGCTTTAGTGTTTTGTGTTTGGATGTACCTTTCTCTCATGGAAGATGCACCTTTGCATTTGCAGTGGTTTGGTAAATCCACCCTTCATCCTTTGCTTCAGTAGGGAATAACATTTTCATATAAGTGACCATAGTAATAATATACTGTGTTACCCCCTGACTTTCAAGGGGTAGAAGGAAACTAGTTTATTTATATACATGGACCAAGGAGCACCTGACAATGAAATAGTTAAAAAGCTTTTCTTCTTTTTCTTAAATAACTTATTTTTAACAATATTGAAAATTAATAAAATGATTATAGCAGAAAATGATGTATTTTATTTATTTATTTTGAGGAAGATTAGCCCTAAGCTAACATCTCCTGCCAATCCTCCTCTTTTTGCTGAGGAAGACTGGCCCTGAGGTAACATCCATGCCCATCTTCCTCTACTTTATACGTGGGACGCCTACCACAGCATGGCTTTTGCCACGCAGTGCCATGTCCGCACCCAGGATCTGAACTGGTGAACCCCGGGCCAACGAGAAGCGGAACATTCGAACTTAACCACTGCCCCATGGGGCCGGCCCCAAAAATGATATATCTTATAGTTCTATGGGCTTTTTTTCTACTTTTGCGTACCTTATCTGATATAGAAAGAAATCATTAAGTACGCATTAGTGTGTATTAAATTTACGCATGAGTAAAATTTTGTAGAGATCAAAGGAATTGGTGTTTATATCTGTGTTCTTGATGATAAATAGGAAGGGGGAGGATGAACCAGGCTTATACATACGCTTTATTATCAAAGAGAACTAATAATGAAGAATTCAAGAAGGAAATATTTTTTAAATAACTATTTGAGAGAGAAGACA